TATATCTATCTATATAAATATAGATATATATCTATATAGACAGATAGATAGATAGATAGATAGATAGATAGATAGATAGATAGATAGATAGATCTAAAACACACACACACATTTCTATTTGAGTCATGAATGGTTTCTTGATGAAGGAATGGTTTGCCTCCTTGTGATCCGTGCAGAGTTGTGATCCTGTGTCATGGTAAGTCCCCGGGACTCCACCTGTCCAGTCCCAGCAGCACGTGGCTCTGGCAGGGTGTGCTCCCCCGACACTTCACCTTCTAGAGTAGTGGCAACCTACTTCATTAGGATAGCACATTATTCATGTGAAATGCGGCAATTGCCCGTTTCCAGTGCTATTTAAAGGAACTGCAATCCACACAGCCATATAAACGACACCCATATTCCAACTAATCATCGTTAATATGATAGGTGCTGTAAAAGGGCCAATTAACACCCAGGACAGCTGAAAACCACAATTTACAGCACCGCTCAGGCATTCTGATAAATGGGATTTTACCTGTGGCAGACCCTTCCTTTTTCCCCAGAATGCACCAGGACACTGAACGAACAAACCAAACTGATTCGCAGAGATTTAAAAAACAGGGTTATTCACAAAAGGGTGAAGAGTTTGGAGAAGGCAGGAGAAGTGAACAATTTAGGACAACATAGCTGAACTGGAAAGTGAGCTGAATTGGATAATTGTTCCCAATCAGCTATATGTTGTCCTACATTCACCCTTTTGTGAATAACCCTATGAAATAGATTTTGTTTTGGCATTCGCCAAATTACTTACAGAACTCAAAAACCTTCAGGCTTTCCTCCTCATCCGAATGGATCTTTGTGTTGTGCTTGGCAAACCTAAACTCTCCCTTTTTAATTATAAAGACAAATCACTAAACATCATATTTGGCATAAAATATATTCATCTATCTGTCTGTTTATTGTTACACATTTTGTATATTTCCTTCGTATTTGTATGCTATGTTATGTGATCCGGGTGTAATCTATCGGTTACTTTTTTTTTCTAGAATTAGTTTATAGTTTATAGATTATAATATAATCAAAGTTATCAATTGTTTATTATTAGAAGTTGTTTGTATTTTGTCATTAATTACTTAAGTGTCCTCAACTTTTATTACTATATTGGTAGCTGATAACTGTATTATAACAGTCATGTAACAAAATGAAACAATTGTTTTTGTTGTCTGGCAGTTACCTTTTATTATATCTATTGAAGTAATGTAGTTTTAGTAAATCAACTATTTACCCTTTTAATTATGTTTTGTTTAATTCTTCTTATTATTATTATTTTGTATTGCACTATTGTATATATTTAATTAATGGGTGTTTTGTAGATATTGGTAGCTGGTTCTTTTCATTTTGGATTGTGTGTTTGTTTTACATATGTCTCACAAGTCTCACCATGCTATGTGCAGCTCTGTATTTTGTGCTGTAGTTTTGCTCTGTCGCAGTCATGTCAGCTATGTGGTGCTATCAGTATCTTCTAGTACCCGGCTTATCTGATCTAGTAGGTGTTTAATGCCTGCCAGGCTCTTTCTGATCAGGTAGATCTTAACAAAGCTCTACAAAGGCCCCCTGTGTAGAGACAAGCAGGATCAGAGGGAACAGGGCAGTGCTAATGAATGGAGGACACAACCTCAAACAATGGATTACAAGGGAAGCTTATCAAAGAGGAGCCTTTAGAACATATACATTCTGTTTGAATTACCTCCACTGTCGGCCTCAGCTTTCATCCCCTGGCCATTTACATTTACATAAGCAGCGATTTCTCAGGCACAAGTTTGAATAACCTCCCAATATATTCAAACGTGATGGCTTGTAAAATTTCAGTGAAATATGGCTGATTTTCTTGGCTCAATAATGCTCCTCTGTCTCAGAACCCCCCCCTCTATTCCTTGCCTAAGGGACATTGCTGTACAAACTAACAGACTTTCATATTAAAATAATTTTACAACCTGTTCAGCTTACTGTGACATGAAGTCCTACTAAACTTTCACATATGATGCTTCACTGAAAAATATACTGAAATACAGGGGCATATATATATATATATTGAGA